TGGGAAAATTCTACTACCAGTCCTTCATCACCTTACACGAAATAGGGTGAATACATCTCATTACACTTTAGCCTAAGTTGCCTAACGTCGTTTGCGGGCTGATGACTGAGTTTTCCCCAATCAGATGACTAGGCGGCGGGATGCCGATGGATTCCATCGGGCCTCATTTTATCGGAACCTGGCTCCATCGAAATAGAACTTTCCGTCGGTTGCAATAGCAAATCCCGGTTGGCTCGGTTGGCCTGAGCTTGCTCTGAATTTTACATCTGCTCCGTTAATCCCGTTGGCCTCATTGACTGTGCAGTGAGGCGGTGACGAGCAGGTATCGATTACTGCTGAAGGTGGTGAGAAGACGACGAAGCGATGTAGTGCAGTCCAATCCAGTCCAATCCAGTCCAGTGTGGTCTTGGTGCAAGTCTTTTGGGAGACATCTCATCTGGTTGTGGGAAAATTTGACGATTCATACTTAAATGAACTTGGGCGATATGGGCCCACTGAATTATTGGATAAGGGTTGTATTCACACTTTCGTTTTAGGTGATGAAAGGGATCAGTTAAATTGTGCACAATAGGCCTGATGCCTAACAAGGAATCTGAGAAAGCCATATTGGACTGCAGTTCCGACCTCATTTCTCGCGTACAACCAAGTCTTCAACGTCAAATGAGGTAATTACAGTCCTTACTTAAGGTCCGCTGGTGACCTCGAAAGCCTACTTTCAAGTTCTTATTCGAGAATTTCTAACACTTGAAAACTACGTAAATTTGAGTGGAAGTTGCGTCAAAATGGGTTTAAGGACTCCTAAGCTCTATTTTTCCTAACAATTCCGAATGTGGATTTTGTGGAACTGACGGCCATAGCATGTCCGACCCTGGGGTAGGCCCGTTTCATTGTAACCAAGGTCCATGCAGGTTGGCTGATGCGCATTCTATGACTAGCTGTCGCCTCGATAGAACGATATAAACAGCCCGGAGCCTTTGTATGATTTTTGCCGAATATGAGTTGCATCGCATCTAGTGCTGTAGCGGTG